ATAATGCGAGTGACAAGTTATAAGTTGTTTGGAAAAAAGAACTTAGACCGGAATTTCAATAGTGAAAGACAGTGGATTAAGATGTGTATCTCAGCCACACAAAGTGAAGGTGGGTGTATCCAGATGCCTTGAGCATGCTAGTAGATGTTCCAAAATAAAAATAAAAGTGTACTTGTTAATGGACTTAGCAGCAGCCGTGCAACCCAAAGCATGAGCAGAATGCGAGTGTCCGTGCAAAAGGGCCTCAGGGGCTATAAAAAGAATATGAGAAAGGGATTTAAGCGTTTTGAGGGTATGACAAATTGTACGGGCAAGCTTATTTCAGCTTTGATTCTTTGTATTGAAGAGACCCTATTGACTAATTTCTTCTCCTTTTGTATTTTAAAAATTATATGAAACTAATAACACTGACACCAACAAATGCATAGAGATATAAAAGAAACGAGGATGAAGAATTGAGGTGTAAGGCAGCATCAACAGTAACGCAGGGCAAGCGAAAAGGGCTGATAGAACGAAGTGAAAATCTGAAACTCGGATTCAAGTAAATTTACACGCTACGTACAACCCATGATTCAATAACAACAACAACTTCATCAATGGATTTCAGAGAAACGCAGACTACAAAAAATTATAACACAATACAATGAACATCCTCAATTCTAGTCAGTAACCGTAATTCTAGAAGCATAGAAACTGCTATTTACAAAAGCTTCCAATTCGGCATTGGCAAATCTGGAATAGACCCAGAATCCAACCCAGACGAATTCACGTTGGTTAAGCATTTGGCGAGCCATGCTACTGAAATCTTACAAAAGAAGTTAAATTTTGTTCCGGACAGCGAAGCATGAGCCATCACGTTTATGACTAAAAGAGGGCAATGCAATGCTAGTAGAACAATCAATATTGCGTGGGGTACAATGATAAGAGTGGTATAGGCACACCTGTATAAACTCACATTGAAGGGACCCAGAAGGCCCTGGACTACCAACCCCACCGGCTGTCTCGACCAGACACATGGCTCTGGTTCTAGCATCCTTACTCTCGCCACTCCTTCACAATTCAGAAGCCAAAACACATGGCTCTGGTTTTTTTTTTTTTTTTTTTTAAATTATGATTTGAACGAGGACGATAATACATCATCTTAAGCACTAATAAGAAGAGTGGGCATGATTCACCATTTAAGATATAATCAACTGTGTCCTGACATACACTACACCAACACTCCATGAATCAAGCTGTTCTTTCTCAATCTTGGTAGTTCAAGTTGTTCAATCATCGGTCATATGAACCAAAACTAAACATATTGACTCCATCTTCTTTCTCAAACAACCACTCCTTAATTAGGCTCAATTACTTAGTCCAACTAATAAACTATCCATCTTTTGTTTGACAATATGGTGTGTTTAGGAATTGATTATGTATAAAATAACAATAATTAGTACAACAAAAAGTCATCCAAATCCCAATTAGACTTGTTGACTATAGTTTTTTAAACAAGAACGTCATTTTTTTAACCTCTGTTTCGAATGACGCAGCAAACAGCTTCAAGCACTATACCAAACACTGCATAATTATTCGCAAAACCAACACAGAAACTTAAACAAAACTTGAGTTGTTGAAATACCCTAAGCTAAGCCTTATATAATTAGTCAACTTTAATCAAATTACAATGCCACCAAATATTCCATATCAATTAGTTTATAGCGATTGTTTCCCCGAATCAAAACTCATGCTTATCTTATCTTATCTAAAGGGCCTAACTTTTTGTGTTATTTTAACTCAGAAAGTGTTGAAATGAGATGGGTCTAACTGGGTGACGAAACCGAATTAGGTCCAAGTCATTGCCATCAGATTCTGTGGTTAGAGACAAAGACAAGCAGATGGGTGTTGTTATTGCCCCTAAAATCTCACTCAAATTGGTATTTTAATCGCATAAATATTGAAAGAACGGGAAGTTTATTGGGAATTTCGTGTTTTTTTGTTTGTTCTTGGCTTGTAATTTCTCTGTGGGTGCGGTTCCTTGGGGCCTTCATTTCTTAATTCCGGAAGTCATCGAGATAGACATTATTAATCAAATGAAAAGGAAAACCAAGGTCAATGAGAGGTGTCATTCCTTCAAGCTTTTCTAATATTAATTGCTGTAACGCTTCATTGTCTCTCTAATTGAGTGACAAGTTGCAGCTATAATAATGTTTAATGCCTTCATGGTATTTTCATAAGGGAACACATGGACCAATGGTATTGGAGATGGTAACAAAAGGGGTTTTATTTTGAACTAGGGAAACCCTAACACTTTTGCTAAGATCGTTCGTATTATTATGAGTTTATAAACAATAAATACTATATGTATTGGACGAAAGTCATAAGAGTTTATGCTTAAAGTGAACAATATCATACCATTGTGGAGGTTCGTGATTCCTAAAATGATATAAGAGCTAAGTTTCAAGTGGTGTTGTAACGACCCAGGCTCACCGCTAGCAAATATTGTCCTTTTTGGGCTTTCCTTTTTTGTACTTCTCCTCAAATCTTTAAAACGCGTCTATAGGGGAAGGTTTCCACACCCTTATAAAGGGTGTTTTGTTCTTCTTCTCAACCAATGTGAGACATCGCAGGTGTGTTGGTAAAGACGATGACTCCTAAGGGGGAGTGTATGGTAAGATTTCACATTGGTTGGAGAATATAAAGGTGTGGAAGCCTCCCTTTGGGTAGGGAGTATAAAGGTGTGAAATCCTCCTTTTAGCAGACTCGTTTTAAAATTGTGAGGTTGACATCAATACGTAATGAGCTAAAACAGACCATACTTACTAGTAGTAAACTTAGACGAATACAATCAAACAATGGCGTTGGGGAGAACATTATTTGATGAGTTGCAACAGGGTACTCTCATAATATATGATGGAACATTTTCGAGGACGATGGCGACAAGCGGACAGGATATGGAGGAGCTTCCATTGTACCTCCCCGTCCCTAAATTAATAGACTTGAAGAACTAAAGCAATGTTCTTAACATATATTAGACAGCAAGAGTATGTTTTTAATTTATGGTGCGGCCATTTGCTTGAATTGTTTAACAAGCCACGACCGAACTAATCCAAAAAGGAAGAGAGAGAGAGAGAGAGAGAGAGACTAATGAATCCACCAATCATATGGGGTTGGAGGAGAGGTTGAGACGAAGACTTTTTTGTGTACCAAAATCATAAATAAACAAATAAAGAGCAAGAGATTTCCCCCACTTTTTCAACCTATAAAGCCAGGGTCTTGTTCCACAGTTCTTTCAAAAACAAAACCCCACAGGATTGAAGAAACAAATTAGAAGCTAAATTGTGAAGATGGGTCGAGCTCCATGTTGTGATAAAGCCAACGTCAAGAAAGGGCCATGGTCACCTGAGGAAGATGCAAAGCTTAAAGCTTATATTGAACACTATGGAACTGGAGGAAACTGGATTGCTCTGCCCCAGAAAATTGGTATACAACTACTTCTCCCCTTCATAACTGTACAAATTTCTATGGCTCTAAAAAACAAGTACTGTTTTGAAGGGCTCAAGAGATGTGGAAAAAGCTGTCGGTTGAGATGGTTGAATTATCTGAGGCCTAATATCAAGCACGGTGGATTCTCAGAGGAAGAGGACAACATCATTTCTAACCTCTATATAAGCATTGGCAGCAGGTTTGTTACAATTTTTTGCCATAACTTCTGTCTTGGTTGTTTCCTTTTGTCGGAGGTTGATTGTCCTCGAATTCCATGCGTGTCTTCCTAGGTGGTCTGTAATTGCTGCGCAGCTGCCTGGAAGAACTGATAACGACATAAAAAATTACTGGAACACGAGACTGAAAAAGAAGCTACTTGGAAAACGTAAACAGTCAAATAGCAACAACAATGGCAATTCACCTTCAACAAGCAGTAATGAAGACCCCAAAGAGGGTTTGAGTAACTCAGCCTTGGAAAGGCTTCAACTTCATATGCAACTTCAGGGCTTCCAGAATCCACTCTCTTTTTATACACACCCTCAGCTATGGCCCAAGCTCCACCCCGTCCAGGAAAAGATTGTCCAGACACTCCTCAACAATCAAACCCCTAACTTTCTTAGCCCTAATCTCCAAGCTGCTACTACTACTCAATTACCAGAAGGCCAACCACCCACGGGAGAGGAGTTCTTTATTCACCCAAAACCTAACCCAGCATGTTTAGATCAAGCATCTGGGCATCATCAAGTTTCAAGCTTTATAGAAGTGGATGAACTTCCCGATGTCAAGGCTGATGGATTCATGGCACAAACAGGACAAATGGCCGAATTTGATTGCTTCAAGGAAGTGGGTGGGTCTTCCAAGGACAGCTTGATCTGGTGGGCTCAGAATAATGACCAAGATATGAGATCCGGATCGTCCTCTAATTCATGGGATTCAACTTCTGTTCTTCAATCGGAATGGGTGTTTCAAGATTTTGAGTTAGGGTATAATCTTTAGGGGGGATTAATTTTAGGTTTGTAGGGGTTGAGTGAGAGACTAGTAAGCCCTTCGATTTCTATTGCTCATAACATGGATTCGCCTGCATGTGACAGCTTATGAATCTGTGTCGTCAAGCTTTGTATATTTGTGTGAATAATGAAGCTTAGTTTCGGATTTTCACTATGGATCTTGCTTAACATATCCAATCAAACGCTACGGATATTGTTTTTTATATTTTCTAAAGGTTTCAAAACTATCGAGACATCTGAGCAAAGTCATGTAGGGGATACTCGACCTCATGCGCTATTAGGGCACGCAAGCAAAAGCAAGCATGGCACCCACATGCCCTCACACAAGGCCAGAATGGGACGCACACGGGGCCAAAATAGGGACTCAAGTTGCTCACCAATTAGAGAGGATATTTCCAATGAGCAATTCAAAGAGTTTATCTCCAAAGCACGAAAAATTTAGAGGTAGGTCTTTAACACCAGTTTTATCTCTCTGTACTGTTAGTTAGACAACATTTAGCACTTAAAAGGACCCAAATGGAAATTAAGACTAGAATATTGCTACAATATCCATTACAAAATCATCATCTAATAACATGTGGAAGTGAAATTCAAAGCGTTCAAGTAGAAAGACATAAAATTGTAATAAGATTTATAGAAATAGGAAAGGAACAGACGCAACAGATTTGATGATCAAAGTCCAAAAATACTCAACACAGAAGACATGGAGTTAACAACATTGGCAATAAGCAACACCGGAGAGACAACCGAAGACGGATCTAGCACAGCCATCGTCACAATGGCTGCACACGTTGCGATTGCCCGACCATCCAATACCATATTCGATAATGTTTGAGAAACCGAAAATTTCACCGTTCTCTCGCCGTTTCTCTGCTACAACTTGGCTTGCCGATGCAAACAAACGGACAGATTTTAAATTTACTATGGTGTGTGGGAAACGAAGCGTACAATTGGAAATTGAAATTAATTTCTACCAAACTAATTATTCATTAAAATTATTTGGTCCCAAGACTTGGTTACGATCTCCGCTAAACGGCTGAAATTTCGAGAAGAAGCTCCGGTGGATTCAGCAGCTTTATGAATCAAAGCCTGCAGAATCCCAACTTTCTCCCTCATCAATTTCCCCTCTTCGCTGCCCAAAACTTGTCCCAACGCCTTCAAAACCCCACTTTTTGTCATCACGCCTCCCTCTAGACTCACCCCAATTCCCCATACATTTTCCGCCGTCTTCACGTTCAACCTCTGGTCCCCAAAACACGGCCGCCCAATCATCGGCACGCCTCCTCCAATGCTTTCCAACACCGAATTCCAACCGCCATGAGTCACAAACGCCCCAACTGAAGAATGCATTAATACCTGCACCTGAGGTGCCCATGGAACAATTTTACCACTACCCATTTCGCGAAGCCCCTTTGGCAAACTTCCCTCTGCATTGCCCCTAAACGACCAGAGGAATGGAATCCCACTTTCCAGCAGGGCATCTGCTAGCGCTGCGAGTTCATGGGGCGGCGGACATAGAAACCCCCCGAAGCTTATGTACACTACAGAGTTTGGTGGATGGTTGTCGAGCCAGGGTAAGCAACCATGGTCGTCGGAGGGAGGCTGCTGCATTAGTACGAGCATGCTGAGTGGACCAACGTTGAGGTAATTGGGGAGTCTTGAGTTTAGTAGGCTTTGTATGTCCTTGTCTATTTCTTCGAAACAGTTTATGAGAACAGAGGTGGCTCGTGGAAGGTGATGACCCATTTTATATAGGAATTTTGGGAAGGGTGAGTCTAGGCTCTCAGTTACGACTTCTTCGGGTAAATCGGCTACCCGGATTTCTGAGAATCCCGGCAAGAAGTCCAGGGGTTTCTCTCTGGATCCTGCGTGGAAATTCTTCTGCCTAATTAAAGAAGAAAACTACACTGTACATAGCATGATATAGAATAGTATTTGTTCTTCGAATAGATTAAGCAGAACAGAGTTTCAGAAACAAAACTGGAACAAAATCCTTAGGCCGATTAATCCTTGTTTACCTTAAAACCCTTTTGCTCGTTAAGTTGAAATAAGAAAGCGATGAAAAGGCGACGTACCAGAAGACTTGATGTGTTCTCTGATGACATCCGTGTCGAGATGCGTTAGCAGAGCCCGAGGCCCCGACGTCCAAACCGCGACCCACGGCACTTTCATTTCTTCTGCCATTTCTTCCACAAACCAGTAGAACGCATCGCTAATCAAACACCCGATTCCCTCTCCCATCTCCTTGGCCGCAGCCTCCACTCCGTGCTTAAACCTCTCCGCAACCCCTTCCAAGAAGTGCTCCATCAGGTCCCCTTGCTTTCCCCCCAACACGTAACCTTCCGGCAACCCGTCGCCAATGTCAATCCGCTTTATCCTGTCGTCCTCAATTGATCCCCAGGCCGAGAAGGTTGAAGCGTTGGATTTGGCAGTGCTGAGAAACGAAAATCGCACGTGTGGAGCTGCCTCGGAGAGCTTCCGGACAAGACCCAGAAGGGGCATGGCGTGAGTTCCGAAAGGGAATGCCAAAACGGCGATGTGGTTTGTGGTTGCTGGGCGATGAGATGCCGACATGTCGACGTGGTAAATTGGCAGTAGCTGCTGCTTCAAATTTTATGGGCGTAGAGTCACAGGGAGAATGAATTGGAAGGAGTAGTAATAGAGAGAAAAATGGTGGTAGGTACAAGATACGGTTGAAATTGAATGATCCAGCTTCCACCACGTCACCTTCATTGCTTCATTTAATTTTTCCACGCCGGTTTTGTGCAATTCGACTGCCATAATGGGCCGACGCCGTTCTCATGCTGCTGCTGCCGTTGCTGCTTCAAATTTTACGGGCGTAGAGTCACAGGGAGAATGAATTGGAAGGAGTCGTAATAGAGAGAAAAATGGTGGTAGGTACAAAATACAGTTGAAACTGAATGATCCAGCTTCCACCACGTCACCTTCATTGCTTCATTTAATTTTTCCACGCCGGTTTTGTGCAATTCGACCGCCATAATGGGCCGACGCCGTTCTCATAATGCTGATGCCGATCGACACTCCTGCTGATGTCCACTTTTAGACTGAAAATGTGAGAACAGAGTTCCCAAATATTTTTTACACCCATCCATCTATACTTGATATAAATATATTTTAAAGCTATATTATATATATATATTTATTAAAAAATTAATTAATTAATTTTAAAATCCTAATAATATCTAATTATTTTATCATTCAGGTAAAGAATATATTGAAAAATGAAAATTTAAAGATAATAATAAATGGTGAAAAAATTATCCACCAGAAACCCATTTTTCGTAGTGAATTTCTTTTTAGTGTGGGAATGAAAAATGAAACGAGTGGAAGGGATGGAGCTGTCATGGAGCTGTCGGGACACCGACATCTCTACTCTTCCAATATACGCAGTATTGTAATATATAAATGGTAATCTCAATATTAATATCTTTTTAAATTACTAAATTTCCAATTGATTTTATAGTAAAATAAAAATGGGATATAATACGTTTATGAGCTGAAAAGTTGAGATAGAAGAAGAAAAATGTAACATTTAGAATGGATTATTGTTTTGAAAAATATATAGGAGTAGTTGAGAATACAGTCTCCACTAATTAAGGGAACCCCATCTGCCTGTCAATGGACGACACAGCGTGGATTTCGCCATTAATGGCGATCACCGTAAAAACTCATTTGACTGCTTCTACTAAATTCTCTCCAATTAAAGGATTTTCACTCAATTTACTTTTGTTTGCACTCATAAATAATTAAATACATAGATTTGAAGTGTTTATAAGTAGCTAACCTTATTTCTTATTACAATAATTTAACAAATATCTTTTTAGTTTGGCAAAATACTTTAGAATATTTTTGCCACGAGAAATAACAAATAAATAAAACATGTGACAAGCGCTCGTCCTTAATTTATACTTGAATTTTGATATTAATACACAATCATCGAAAGAGAAGGGTTTTGACTTGATAACCATTCTATTAACATTTGATGTGGTGGTTTCTTTACGCTCAACCAATGACGTTAAGTTCGGTTTAATTTTAATTAAGGAAGATGAAATTAAAATAGGAAAAAGATGAGCAATAATATAATGTAATGTAATGTATTAGGAGAAAGAAAAAAAGAGAATGGTAATGATTATTGAACATGGATGCCACCCCATAGTTGACACACAAGTATCCTTTATCCAACCACTCAACTCCAAACCCATTCCTTCATAAATATCATCGAACTAAAAAACTACACTCCAGAGCACACACGCGCACACACAAAAGCTGCCCAATCAAATCGCCCTCCAAGGCCTCAATTTGGAGGAGCAGAAGAAAAAAATGCATGCATATCTGCTCATCCCCATCGCCATTATTCTCACCCTCCTAAGCTCATCCGGCCCCGCCGCCGCAGCTCCGGTGAGGTCCGACAGAGTCCTGCAAAAGCAATTCCTCGGCCCTCACAATGCCGCCAGATACGCTCTCCGATTGGCCCCCTTGGTTTGGGACAACAAACTGGCTCGCTACGCACAGTGGTACGCGAACAAGCGGCGAGGGGATTGTGCCCTCCGTCACTCTGGCGGACCTTACGGTGAAAACATCTTCTGGGGCAGCGGCAATGCTTGGAATCCGGCACAGGCTGTGTCGGATTGGGTGTCGGAGCGGAAGTGGTACAGTTATTGGGCCAATTCTTGCGTGGAGGGTGAACTGCGTGGGCATTATACTCAAATTGTGTGGCGGTCGACACGGCGGATTGGGTGCGCTAGAGTCACCTGCAACGATGGTAAAGGCGTCTTCATCACTTGCAACTATGACCCTCCTGGTAATTACATCGGGGAGAGACCTTATTAAACGCCATTAATTATCTTCATCATGGGTAAAAGTTCTGTTGCTCATGTCCTTGTCAAATTCACATGTAATTGATATGTGCTGTATCCCCAATAAATATATATATATATATCTTTCATTTTAATTTCCGTACGGAATAATAAAATTTTGAAATAAAACTCTATTAGGAAGAGATTATGAGTTAATAATAAACAATACAATATTGTAAATGATCATAGGCATATTAGATTTACAATATGTTTGTAATCTTGGGGAATAATTGTGTATTATAATGATTCCATTGATTTCAGTCTTAATTATTGTTGCCAAAAATTAAATGTAGAGCATAGGGTAAAAAAGATATTGAGGTAAGAATAATAGATTTATAGGAAGCAGTGGCGGTAGAATTATGAGTGTTCAGACGGTCAGAGATTCTGAACGTGGAAACATGCATCTGTCGCCGCTCATTTAAATTCCCAACTACTTTAGGCCTATGTTCTGGACGGTGGGCTCCACAACCCACTCGGATTCTTTTTCAGATGGGCTTTAGTTGGGCCCAACACTGAGTCCAAGTCAGGCCCATGTCAATAATAGAGAGTTTTTTTTTTTATCAACATTTATTCAATTTTAATATGAACGATTTATTTCATTATTATTCTTTGTCATTATTGACTATTACCATTATAATTGATTGATTTTATTATTACAGCAAAAGTAAATGTTTAAATACGCTTAAATAAAAGAGTAAATGTATTTATCTAAAGGGTAAGATTTCACCTTGGTTTTAGAGATAACGAAGTTTTAACTCAGTGGCGAAACTTCTCACTAGGGCGTTTTAAAAACAAGCGAAACCGAGAGGGATATAGCTATTACCGGCCGAAAGTTCCATGTGAATGGTAACTCAAACTTGGGCGGTGGTTGCTTTGACACTCCGTAGATGGTTTTGGTTGTTTGTTTGCAGGTGCACACCAGATGGTTGAGAAGTGTTGTGGGAGAGAACTTGGGGCGTAATGAAGAGTAGGATGAGAAACAGAGGTAGCCGCAGCTGCTTGCTTTTTGACTGTGATTGGAGGAAAAAGCGTACATGGATAGGTTAAGTAGGCGCCGGCAATAAAAAGGCGTAGGGCGGTACAAAATGGGCAGACACGTGCGAATATGGGACGACGCCCATTCATTCACAAATCCAACTATTCCTACCTTTCCGTCAACTGATTCCCTCCGGTTTGTTAAAACGCCGTCAGCTGGGGGACGGGCATGATCGCGGGCGCGGCCAATACTCCACTCCAGACCCCGCCATCGGGGCCTCTCTTCGACCCGTCAGCCACTCGCCATTGCCTTTCCAACCCTTCCCCTCGCTTCACCATTCGCTTTCCACCTAAGCCCTTCCCGGATCCTGCTCTCTCGCTTTCCAATCATTCCAGGATGGACTTGATCGGACGCCTGGCTAATAGTTTCTTCTGCAGCCTCCGCCGTCTGAAAGGCCTCAAGGTGGAGGCTGATTTCTCTGGCGAGGAAACTTTTGTCCCCGATGCCAAGGCGGCGCCCGAGCACCTTGTCATCATGGTCAATGGTCTAATTGGGAGGTATGCTCTCCTTCATTGCTCTTTGATTCTACTCTCATGCCTGCTCCCACCATATTACTAGCTGTCCAACTGTCGCTCGTTTGATTTAGCATGTTAATTTGCGATCGGATTTGGATTTGGGTATCCATCGATCCTTCTTTTTCTTCATTTCTTCAGTGCTGCAGATTGGAGATACGCGGCAGAGCAATTTGTAATGAAGCTTCCTGATAATGTTATCGTACACCGTAAGCGCTTACTATTCCCCCGATCTTCTATTCGTTTTGTAGGTCTCCTTGATAGGTTGCCACTTATTGTAAAAGTTCAAGGAGTCTCTATGCACTTGATGTGAAGATTTTTGTTATTTTGAGTGTGTTTACGAAAATATAGTGTCAAAAGCTTTTGACAAAAATGGGTTAGGTTTAGTCAATACAAGATTAATCGCATCCCGAAAGGATAATTTTGGGCTGAGAGATAATGATACTTTTCCAAATAATCTATCTAGCACAACTTTTATTCTAATTTTGGAATGATTTTGAAACTGATCCACCTTTAATATCCTTTTTCCAAAAGCAACCTTGAATGTGAAAAAAGTTATATCACGTGGCGGATGAAGCTAGGTTACCTCTAGGTGGTAAATCTGGATCCAATCTTTTGATTTCAATGTTGCTTAACCTATGACCACCATGCAGAGAAATAGCTAGTGATGGGGAAGCTGAATCAGTGTCAGTAGGGCGAATAGGATATCCATTAACCATCAGTGCAATTTTAGACCGCAAAATTGAACTCACCCCTTCACTCAAAAAATTGAGATTGTGTCCTAATGGGGATATCTCTTTGATTGTTTTGGTATACAGTGTGCTTAAAATTATGATTTAGTAAGCCTTTTTATTTGTGTTTCTACTCAAAAGTGTTTTTAGCTGATCCAAATTCCAATGCACATCTCTTTTCTTGACTCTCTGACATCAAGAGTAGTCTTTGAGAAATTCATAATTGAATTTACCTTTGTTGTGTTCAATTTATTGGCTAGTGTATCGTGTTGGAATTCCTTTATGTCAACCCTTTATGCGTACAGGTCACATTAATTTCTTTGCTTCTAAAATAATCTTCTCAAGCAGGCAGTGAGTGTAACACTTCAAGATTAACATTTGATGGCGTTGACACCATGGGAGAAAGGCTGGCTGAAGAGGTATCTTGGTCCTATATATGTATTTATGATTCATCTCTGAAAAGTATAAAAATAGCATCCTCACAGACATTTGGGTTCTCTCTTGAAATTGGTATTGTTGAATTTCTCAAAAGTTGTCGAGGACTTTACTTTAAACACATCCAATGCAGGTGTTAGCTGTCATAAGGCGTTGGCCAGAGGTGCAGAAAATTTCCTTTGTGGCCCATTCTTTAGGTGGGCTTGTTGCAAGGTATGCCATTGGAAGGCTTTTTGATCATATCCCTAAATTGGAATCCTCAGGTGCTCCTCAAAGTTTCTCTGCCGAAGAGCAGAAGCAACAGGTTGAGCAATTCCATCATGCAAGAATTGCTGGATTGGAGCCTGTGAACTTCATAACAGTTGCAACTCCACATTTAGGTTCACGTGGAAATAAACAGGTGATTATTTTTATTATATGCACTTTAGACTACAGAAACCAGATCGTCAAGCTGAAACTTGACAGAGTTGTTCATGAGTGTGCATTTTCCTTTGCATAGCAATAGGGGCTATTGCCTGTTGACCGTTAACTCGCCACCTCACCCATTATTCACGAGGTTGTTAAATAAACTTAAGGTCTACATCAAACCAGTCATCAGCCTGAAAATTCAGAGTTTTTCATTGAGTGTGCATTCACTTTGCCGCAGCATTGGGGTTGGGTGGAGGGAGGGTAGGATGAGGTTGGATTTATCAAATGAAATATCTAGTTAATATGACTTCTTTGTTCCTTTTGTTTCCTCAGTTTCCAGTTCTTTGTGGTCTTCCTTTCTTGGAGAGAAGAGCTTCTCAAACAGCACACTTAATTGCTGGGAGGTCTGGGAAGCACCTATTCCTCACTGATGATGAAAATGATGGGAAACCTCCGCTTCTCCTAAGAATGGTTACCGACTCCGAAGATCTAAAGTTCATGTATGTTTTGACTTTTGCATAAGAATAGTAAGTTGCCTATACTTTGTATGCTATTGGTGTTTGACTTTGTATATTGTCTTTGGACTTTTGTTGTTTAGCTCAGCATTACGTGCATTTGAACGTCGGGTGGCATACGCAAATGTGAATTATGATCATATCCTTTTACACTTAAGGGCTTGAGATATTAATGTATCACAAGCTTCCTGATTACAAATTGGTGCGAGTTCAGACTATAGATGTGATTGTGAATCTAATAAAAGTTCATAGGCCAGAGAGTTACTCAATGCAGAAGAAGAATTAAGAGGAGTTATATCCGTTACTATATTATGTTGACCTTCACTTAATATTAGACATGGTTGGGTGGAGAACGTCGTCTATTCGTCGTCAACATGAGCTCCCAACGGTAAGGTTTGTGTTTCAGTTGTTCTCCACTTATGTATCTTGAGCCTTTTCTAGAGGAAGATTAAATGCTTTTTTCTTCTTATTCTGTGACCAGTCAAGTGAGCTTACGACAAATGACAAATACCCACATATTGTCTATGAGGAGCAATCAAGGATGGATGACATCTGCAATAAAGCATCGCTGGTTTTAGACCAAACACTTGACTTAGAAGGTTACCTTCTTCCACCTCCTTGTCTAAAATCTCTCCCTCTTTCTCTCAAGTATCTCCTATATTTCTGTTAGTTGTCTGATGTCTTGTAGTGAAACAATATTAGAAATGAATCTCTTTGGTAACAAGTTCAGAAAACAGATGCATCATCATCTTTATTCCTCGAGAGAAGAAAAAAAATTCTTACCAAGTTTTTAGAATTTGAAGGAATTAGAAACTTTCCTCTCCTTGAAGTCATTTTGCCAAGTAACAAAATATTTTGCTACGCAGGTATCATCTACCAATTCTAACATTCACCAAAAGTAAGAGATTAAAATAAAAATTGTTGGAAAAACATCCAAACATTAGGGACTAAAACATGCATAAGCCTTGTGTTTATTGGCCCATACCTTTGGAGATCTAAGGTTGGGGAGAAGACTATGCTTTATGAGTAGAAGAGAGAGATTCAAAATTAGCCAAAATTAGGTGGGAACTCAATAGCATGCTGCTGTTCTTGCCACCATGTTTATTGTCCCTCTTGGCATAAGCTTCATTAGTTAAGTACATGACTTGACCATCTCTGCAAGTTCTCTTGGTGCCTAATTCTGAAATTATTTTGTTTAGCCTTGTCATTGAAACAGTTTTTTTCTTATAATATGTAGAGGAGATGATTAGAGGTCTTAATCAAGTTCCTTGGACACGAGTAGATGTTAGCTTTCAGAAAAGCAGACAGAGATACATTGCTCACAGTACCATTCAGGCAAGTATAGAGTGAAGTAGTTGAGAAAAAAGAAAAAGATTTTTTTATTTTTATTTTTTATGCCTTCAGGTGAACCGCTATTGCCTCAAGCATTGACTCCGAGTACCTCTGTTCATATATTGCAAATCTTTTCCCATTTTAACTAACATTTGATGACTTCAGGTGAAGAGCTATTGGTTGAATTCTGATGGTGCAGATGTGGTTTTCCACATGATTGATAACTTTGTTTTATGAAAAGAATATGAAACTTGGGATGAGTGGTTTGAAGCGCAATGTAAATTTTTAGCAGCAATATATAATCATGTATTCTTTACTATCGGTGCGGAATCCTTAGAACATCTTTTACTTTTTACCGTATGCTTGTTGATAGTGTTTCATGAGAAATCTTGTTTTGTATAAACACTCGCATATTTTTGGTACCTGTAATTATTCCATATATTGAGACAGTGGAACTTTGAGATTTCTTTTGTGGAGTATACACACAGATTTGAAGTTCTGTAAATTTCTGTTGAATTCAATGTTAGAAACATGAAAAAAGGTCTTGCGGTCCTGATACGTCGTCAATTCTGTGTCCAGATTGGTTTTGCTACATCCGTACTACCGAGCGTGATACTTATTTGAATTTGAAAATAACAAATGATATTACTTAATCTTTGATCCCCTCTTCATCTAAAGATTTCTACGTTGTTACAGGAAATGTTTCGTTTTCCGTTTCAATCCACATGAGAATACTCTAAAAAGTAACAAATATAACTGAAAGATGAGAATACCCTAAATGAGTAATATCTTAGTCATTTTCGACTCTTAGCCAAAGACACCATGAAAAGCGACAAAACATATCGTGGTCGACCAACTTTGTAGGTTGGTCCATTACTTTTTTATCTCTTGAATTTCGCAGGGACAAACTCTTATCTACTTTCCAACTCTCACTACTGGACAAACCCTACATTTATTACATTGTTCAACATTTTAATTTTTGTTTTTAGTTTAACTAAAATTTAATTTTTATTAAAATTAATTAAATGGTAAGAACGATACAATTCTTACCTATACGAAGAAGAGGTGAGAGGGAAAATTGAAAGTGAAGTGACGGAAATGTCCCGAACATAATTCCAAGGGAGATACGAAGCGTATCAATAAATGCGACGTTGGCTTGCTGACAACCACTCTATTCCCATTTGAGACCACAAGCTCCCATGACAATGGGGAAGGACAACTTGGTCCAACTAAATTTACACGCAATGGATGACCTCATTTGAACCCGAGTGACTAGGTCTACCCTTAACCCGACAACCCAACTCTTAGTTTTGGTGAGAAAAGAGGGTATAATTTAATATAGAAAGTTCATAATTAATATGTCATATAAATATGGTAATTTAAATTGGAGATTGGAAATATTTGAAACTTATTCTTATAACTATAATAATGTTTTATTATTAAAATATTTAACGAATGAATACATTTAAATTTAATATTTTCATTGGTTGTTTATGAAAAAAAGAAAGGGAAATCTATTTAGAAATTGTAAGAAATTAATTATAAAAGATTTAGATATTTAAAAATTAAGAAACGAAATTGAAAAAACACTAAAATATATAACAAAAAATGAGATGGATTAAGAAATTGGAATATTGGAAATAAAATTGGAGAGCAGAGAACCGGAGCGGGCTATAAGTGGGTAAGCCGGGTTCGCCCGCTGCTTGAATAGATAAAAAAAACCAACGACAACTTTTTTCTGACTTTCCATGTACCGAAGAGCCAACCATGTTTACGTGGCGGGACCCATGACCCACCACTTCCTTCGGTCGCTCTCCAACTTTTTTTCTCTTTTTTTTTTCATGGAGCCGATTATTTGGACTTAATAATTAATGGTATGAGTTTTCATGAGTTTACTTCCCATTTTTCTAAAAGACCTCGTATTAATTGAAATGTATTTTATATTTAGAAACTCAGGATCATTATCTTAATTAGTCAATGCAATCTTTCTATCAAACAAAGTTATCATATATTAACATGACTTCAATATTATATTAAGAGTCACGATTCTCACAACCACTTTGATAATAAGCTATTTATAAACGCGGAACACTCTCCTAGAATCCACTTTGATAATAAGCTATTTATAAACGCGGAACACTCTCCTAATATTTTCGAGCCTTTTTATATTGATATGGAACTGGCTTGAACGCGGCCTAGTCACCGTCCTCTCGAATCAAACTCCGACCACTTTCACAAGAGGGCGCTACGTCGGCACAGACACACGACAATTACTAATCCTTTGTATCAATCTTGTTACTAAAATAATATTTTAAATGTGGCAGAGAGCTCGCCACGTGTCGGGTTACTATTCGTCAGCATCCAGATTTCCTTCCCCCTACAAGTCAGATAGATGATAGATAAAGATTGCTGAAAGACACAGCCACTTCCCTCCTTCTGAAACCAAATCCAAAGCGCACCAAATATCTCTCCCAACTCCTCACCCAACACACCCAGCACCCTGTTTCTTGGCGGGAGACTCTGGAGGCTTCTGAATTCACAACGCCATCAACCATGGGAATTCAGGGAGACAGTGTTGTGAAGGGTTTCGGCGGCGGATGGGGCGTGGTCGCTAAACCCTGCGACTCCTGCAAGACAGGGCCTGCAGCCGTCTATTGTCGACCTGACTCTGCTTTCCTCTGCCTTTCCTGCGACGCCAAAATTCACTGCGCTAATAAGTTCGCCTCTCGCCACGAGCGCGTCTGGATGTGCGAGGTCTGTGAACAGGCTCCTGCCGTCGTCATGTGCAAGGCCGATGCTGCAGCTCTCTGTGTTACCTGCGATGCCGATATTCATTCCGCTAACCCATTGGCACGTCGCCACGAGCGTGTCCCGGTCGAGCCTTTTTTCGACACGGCCGAGTCAATGATCAAATCCTCTTCGGGTTTCAATTTTCTCCTGCCCACTGAAACCAACGCCAGTGGCTGCCACGGTGCCCATCAACACGAGGAAGTGGAGGTCGCCTCCTGGCTTTTATCCAACCCACCTTTCAACTCTAAACTCGTGGACGAACCTGAAATCAAGCCACCTGGTCATGATCATATGTTCTTCACTGAAATGGATTCCTTTATTGATTTTGACTACCCAAACCCAGTCAACAACCACAGCGCGATTAACGACAGCGTCGTCCCTGTTCAAACCAAGCCACTCTGTACTCCGGTGATCAATACCCACTCCCCAGAAAATTGCTACGACATCGATTTTTGCAGATCCAAGCTCAATTCATTCGGCCATCAACCACTATCCCTGAGCCACAGTGTAATTAACCCAACCCCAGATGAAAGATTTCTAATTTAACCCAAAACTTGGGTCAATTAAACTAATTAAGTTGTGATTGTTTGAATTCTTCAGGTTTCCTCTTCTTCCCTAGAAGTCGGAGTTGTCCCAGAAGCGAATTCGATGTCCGACATATCGTACCCATTGGGTCAAAGCGTGAGTAGTGGGGGGGACTCGGGGCTACCGGTATCGGGATCCGGCAACCAAGCGACTCAATTATGTGGAATCGACCGGGAGGCGAGAGTGTTGAGGTACAGAGAGAAGAGGAAGAACAGAAAGTTCGAGAAGACAATCCGGTACGCTTCAAGAAAAGCTTACGCGGAAACCCGACCCAGAATCAAAGGCCGGTTCGCTAAACGGACTGACACGCTATCAGAGGTTGAAGAAATGTATGGGTCGGCTGGTTCGTCTCTGTTCTTAGCAGACACCCAGTACGGCGTGGTTCCGACGTTTTAACCATGACTAAGCTGAATTGAACTGAACGAACTAAATCCAGTGCTGCTTAGATTTATAATTCTTATTGTGCGCATTGAATAAATGAACGGTAGATTACGGCAAATTATGTGTTTGATGATGACGATGATGTAAACAAGCAAGCAGTGATCGATTTGCAGGTGCGTGGCTATCGCAAGTTGCCTGCTTTTTGTCACCCTCTTCTCCTTACAAATATAACCGATTTGCCCTTCTGAATCTTTTTCTGCATTCTTATTGGCTAGATCCAAATTTAAATTTTTAGCTCAACTTGGGCGGTGTTTGTCTCTGTTTTGGATAAGTATGATCCCAGAAAAGTGGCATCACGTGGAGTGTTGTAACTTTGTGGGAATGGTAAAGGTTTTTTCTTCACGGGTTTGTAAAAGTGTTTCTTTTAAATTACTTTTGGAAAGATGTTACTTTTATGAGGGCAGTGGATTCAAGCAGCTGCAGTTTTCAAGTTCTAATAATTGGTTCGTGTAATTATGAGCATTTGGTCCACTCACCTTTTTATAATGCGAATTCCAAGTCATGCATCGGGTCACTAAATTCGAGTATCTAAATAGGGAAGATCAGAGTAGTATGTCGTCGTCATATGTGTATATGAACACACACATGTGCATTGCAAACTGCAAACCAAGACCAGCGATTGAGGCTGGAGACTAGTGACTAGCAACCATTTTGGGCATTAGAGGTCAATGACTCGGAACTAAAATAAGCAACCACATACCCAATAGACACCGGTGACGAGTGCTAAGCCGGTGACTGTGACAATGGATCAGGACGGGCGAATAACGGTCGAGGACTGATGACTTGTAACCACTTTTGTAAGAGTCGTGAGCAAGGACCGAGATTGAAGATCAGAGATGACTTGTAATAGCCCATGTGAGATCCTACGTCGGGTGGAGAGGAGAACGAAACATTTTTAATAAGGGTGTGAAAACTTTTCCTTAACATATGCGTTTTAAAACCGTTAGACCAATGACAATACGTAACGGGTCAAAGCAAACAATATCTGCTAGCGGTGGGCTTGAGCTGTTACAAATGGTATTAGAGCCAATCACCAGATGGTGCGAGACAATGGTCGGAGTAGAGCTAGACCCTCTTCATAATAGACATATTTTAAAACTTTGAAAAGAAGTTTAGAATATTTGTTATTGGTGAACTTGGGCTGTTACACGACTACTCACTTATGACTATTGTTGACCACCACACATCACCAATAACCAAGACCAAGGACTACGTGACCAACGACCACTTCACTAATCGTTAGGAGTCGTCAATATCAATTGCTAGTCACTCTTCTCCAACCATCGTTGCCATAATGGTAACGATTTCTAGTCTCTAATCCCTGATCTTGATGATCAACGACCACTCTATTTTTTAATACTAGGGGAAGGTTGGTTAGTTTATAGTTGAATTTTTAATTATCGAAAAACAAATAATGTTTGGGGACATGCTATAATGATATAAAATATTTATAAATAAATCATTACCATATGTCCCAATCAAACAGATATGATCAAAGATTATAAGAGAGAATAATTTGAGACCTATAAAAACACTATAGCAACCTTGTATCCTATATGTTCATATTAAATAAACTTTGGCTTCATATGCTTACATTGTATTGCTAATTAAGCATGCATTCTCAAAATTTCATGGTGTTTGTAAGGATCTCTCATCTTCTGCTCCTCAATGGCACTAAAAACCCCATAATCGAAACTCTCTTGATCTCCACCTCCACGATGTTCTCTGCTTGCCTGCTCATCTTCATCATTATCACATCTAGCACTTGAGATACTCATTAGCATGGGCTTGATGCTTCCCTTGTGTTCACCATCAGCCATCAAGGCTTTCAAACACTCTACCACTTCTCTGATAGTAGGGCGCTTATCTGGTTCGGTCTGCACGCACATGATTGCCAAATGCAATACATGTTCGAACTGTTTCCAATTGAGGTGTCCCTTCAGCTTCCTATCCGCCAAGTCTTTGAACCTGTCTTTGTTTATTGTGGTGTTGATCCACTCAGAAATGGTTCTCTTTGCTCCACCAGGGAGTCTTTCGATTGGCTTCCTTCCCGTAATGAGCTCTAGCAAAAGAATCCCATAGCTGAAAACGTCACAGCTCTCGGAGACTTTGCCCCACATGGCATATTCAGGAGCAAGATACCCTAAGGTCCCTTTGACTCGAGTTGTCATGTGGCTTACACCCTCTGGTATTAGTTTTGCAAACCCGAAATCAGCTACAAGTGGCTCAAAATCTGAATCTAACAGCACATTGCTTGCTTTTATGTCTCTGTGGATTATGTGGGGTCTTACTTCCTGGTGCAAATACCTACAAATGATAAAGTTAATATTTTAAGAGTTTTCGTTCGCTCTCTAAAAATGTGAGCTCTCATATTGGTTGGGGAGGAGAACGAAGTATTCTTTATAAGGCTGTTACAGGGGTGTGGAAACCTCTCCCTAACGCATTTTAAAAACCTCGAGGAAAGCCGGAAAAGAAAAGCCCAAAGAGAATAATATTTGCTTGCAGTGAGCTTGAACCGTTACAAATGGTATTAGAGCTAGACACTGGGTGGTGTGCCAGTGAGAACATTGGGCCCCGGAGAGAGGTGGATTGCGAGATCTCGCATCAGTTGGAGAGGGGAACACACATTTTTTATAAAGGTGTAGAAACCTCTCCCTAGTAGACCACCGGGCGGAGCCCACACATTCTTTATAAAGTGTGGAAACCTCTCCCTAGTAGACCACTAGACGGTGCCAATGAAGATGTTGGGCCCCGAAGGGGGATGGATTGTGAGATCCCACATCGGTTGGAGAAGGGAACACCCACACATTCTTTATAAGGATGTGGAAACCTCTCCCTAGTAGACCACCGGGCGGAGCCCACACATTCTTTATAAGGGTGTGGAAACCCCCCAGTAGACCACCAGGTGGTGCCAGTGAAGACACTAGGCCCCTAAGAGGGATGGATTGTAAGATCCCACATCGGTTGGAGAGGGGAACACACACATTCTTTATAGGGTGTGAAAACCTCTCCCTAGTAGACGCATAATACATGTTCTTTGTATCTTTATAAGGGTATGGAAACCTCTCCCTAGGAAACCATTGTGAGGAGCCAGCGAGGATGTTGGGTCCGAAAGGGAGATGTATTGTGAGATCCTACGTCGGTTGAAGAGGGGAGGGAACATACACACATTTTCTATAAAGGTTTGGAAACCTCTCCTTAGCATATACTTAACACACATTCTTTATAAGGGGTATAAAACTCGGTCAAGGGAAACCCTAATAAGACACTAGTGCACAAAAACAAAAAATAAAGAAACAAGAAGTAATGACTTACAAAATGCCTTCAGCAGAGCCAAGAGCGATCTTCATTCTTCTTTTCCAATCCAAGTGAGCTTCAGAAGCAAATTGGCCATGGAGATGGGAGAGCAAGCTGAGATTTGGCATGTAATCATAAACAATAAGCCTCTGATCAGTCCCCACACAGTAACCCCTCAGCCCCAACAAGTTCTTATGCCTCAGCCTCGCCAGCACTTCCACTTCCACTGCAAACTCCATCTCTGCCTTATAATTCATCGCTTTCAGCTTCTTCACCGCTATCTACACATATATATAACAAAATTTTCAAACAAATCCTGCACAATATTTTACATGCTAATTTGGCCTTAATTTTCACCTGAAGACCATCGCTGGTCTTGCCCCAATAAACACTTCCAAATCCTCCTTCTCCCAGCTTGTTGTCCTCATGGAAACCATTCGTGGCCGCATGCAGCTCCTTGTACGTAAACATCCTCCACGAACTGTTCCCTCCAACGAACCTTCCACAACAAAAATGATCAAAATTCATCAGAAAAAGGGAAAAAAGACATATTTTTGAGATTTGGGTTCTGACAGACAAACCCCTGGTCTATTTTCTCAGAGCCACAGCAACTGAAAGACGATCCCATGGTTTGGTTTTTGTGTCAGGTCAGCATCCATCTGGTAGAGAAAAGTTTCCACTTTTAAACCAAATTACCAATGTTTCAGAGTTTGCCACTTGTAATTTAGTGTAAATGTAATCAAAGCCGACCTCGGCCGGCCTCTGTCGTCGGATATGCTGCGTGGGTGCTCACTCCCGCGGCTTTAACAAGACCAATTCTATTCTTAATTCATTAAATATATGAACAAGACCAATTATAGATTATGACGCAAAAAGGGCCTTAAAAGGAAAGCATTGACAGAGAGGGCCCATGAAGGAAACGAGGCAGCCCCGGCGACAGAGTTGAAACCATGGTCGAATGGAATGGTTGTTATCGAGACCCATTATAGTATATTGTGCATAAGCAATCAATTGTCGTTGTAGTTGGAATGATGAATTGATCAATAATTCATAATGTCCTTCAATCTTAGCTCACCCACAACTCACTCACTCTCTCCCAAATTCTCAACATGCCACTCAAATTAAGACAGTTTTATTATTTGTTCAAATTATCAGAGCCACAAGACGAATGATGTGGAACCCAATGCCAATTTCAACACTCCACTATTTTCCAATCCCATGGATGTTAACTTGAGCTCATTGCAACTTCATGAGGTTACAAAAACATTGGAACAAGCTTAGTTTAATGGCTTCCCCATCATTATTGTTGCCACTTCTTAGTTGATTTGTATAGCTAGAAGAAGCTCCAAGGCCCCAAGATGTGATGTCTCTGACGCCATCAAAAAAATAAGGAAAATGGATGTAACAGCCTAAGTCCATCCCTATTAGATATTGTCCACTATTACGTATCGCCTGTTAGCCTTACGTGCTTTGCTCCCTTTACTAATCGATGTGAGATTTCACCATGTAGATGTACCAACCCCTGTAACGTCTCGAAAGTGTTGGAGGGAGAAAAAGAGTATATACAATAATAATACCACTAAAACATTGTATAGAATAAGGTTTGGACCTAAGATTCAGGAGAGGAGAGCATATTCAATTGCCAATAATTAAGAAGGAATAAAGTTATAATAATAGAAGAGGGACATACTTAAGTGGGTTCTAACTTGGAATTGGATTTGGGATAAAGTGTCCTTCCAAGGCTATGTTGCCTTTTTAGGTGCCTATTCCACTGTAGGCCCCCAATATATTCAGATTCCTCCTGCTAGTAAGGACGTTGGGCCCCAAAGCGAGACGTGGATTATAAGCGTAAGAAAAGATTTATTGAAGTAGAATTTAAACAGATTAGAGAAATTGTTGATGACAGGAGAGTAGCTGATGATGAAAAGAAATGAAGAAGATGGAAAATTCAGATTGAGGGTTTGATTTGATTGAGATGTTGGAGTTAAAGAAGAACTGTTAGTATTATAGTTCGTAAGCTAACAGAACATAGCCCAAACCCAGACAGACAGACATACACACAGACACACAGAGGTGAATTTGTTGGAGTCCGTTTTGGAGGGAAATTAGGAACAGCTTTATTAAATGAAAGGGTGCATGAAGTTTCACCTCGCCGCATCACCCCCACCGGCACCCTCCATTTCCGGCCACTTCTCCACGTGCCTTCCAAAACAACTCCCTCGCTCACGCCCTCCACTTTCTGCAAATCCAATGCCTTTCACTTCATCCCTGACAATACGATCATTGTTGAAGTTTATTCTTTTTTCCTCAATTGTGTGTAAGAGAAGGAAACTAGTGGTGATTTTCAAAGAGGCAAATGATTCATTCCGTCTCAGCTGGATTTACAGATTTCAGAGAGGGTAAAAAAAATCTTAGCAACTTAAGAATACTACCAAAGCTCGTCTTTTTTATATATATATATATATACAAAAACAAAAACAAACCAAACCCCAATAAAATTATTGAGAAAATTATGTTAATTGGTCGTCTGATCTGAAGATTCAGGAGTTTCTCTGTTTTCTATACTCTGAGTCTCCTGATTTCCGATGCTCTGTTTCGCCGTCTCTTTTTCATCCTTGTCGGCGGTACCAGTCGCACTGCTGCTACAACTACTATTGCTTTTGGTATCCCCAAAAGAAGAGGATCTGCTAGACATGGGAGTAGCCAAATACGTGGGCTTGATTTCTCCAGCCATGATAACCAATATTTTCTCTTCAAAAACAGGGGAAGGGCGTTTCTGGGTGTCGTCGTTGCCAGCCTCCAGGTCGGTCTCCCGATTGGTACCGTCACCGCTGTCGAGGTAGCCAGAGAGCTTCCAGTAAGAGCAAGCGAGGATTAGAAGCGCAAAAGCGATGAGTCCTAACATAGCAGCCAAACCCCCAAACAAGTAAGGGACAGGGGAATGCCAAGGGGAGTGCTGCAGCTGCTGCAGCTGCTGTTGTTGTTGTTGCGGGAAATGTAATTGGGGTTCAGGTGCGGCTGAGTGCCGTGAAACGTCCAAGGGCTCTCTGTTGGCCATGGTTGAGAATTGCGATGAAGATGTTGAAGCCTTGGGGGCGTGAACCGTTATTTATAGATACAGAGGGAGTATAATTAAAAATTGGGTTAATTTTTTAATGGGATGATTAATGTCGTCATATATATAAGAGGTGGGGTCGGATGGTGGAGACGTAGGACCCACAAGAGCACAAAAGGGCTTTTTGGTAATATGCGACGAGTGATTATGTCAGTGACCTTTTGGCCAAGTTTTCATTTTTTTTTTTTTTTAATTTTTAACAAAGTCTTTAAAAAATTAAAAATGAAAATAAAAACTTTTGTTTTCTAATTTTTTTTTTAAATTTTCAGTTACCGTACAGACCTAGTACGCCGTTCAGGACATTTATACCCTTCACGGTCCCACCGATTAATAAAAATTATTAGTGATATTATCTATTTTAAATATATATTTTTATAATTTTATTTTTTGTTTTTATGAGAGACTTCGTACTAATGAATATGTAATCCCTACTCATAAACTCGTGATCATCCCGAAAGATATGACGTGTAAATAAATTCATGCAAAAGACAAGCCCCATAACAAACGTCCAATTGCCCGCTCGGACGTACACGTCAAGGACACTTGCATTTTCCTTTTTACTTTATTATATAATTTACCATCCAATAAGCTAAAATTCGTTTTATTATAAAAATTAAAATAATTTGAATCTTTCCCCCACTAACTCTATCTTATCCTACTCCTTCCTTGGATTTTTTGTTCTAAACAAATCCACACCAAATCCCACTTCTTCCATTCTTTTATTATTTCTTTTTATTATAAGGCTCGGGTTGGTCTCCAACTTCTTACTTTTTTTTTCTTTTTTTAACTATAAGTCATGCGAAGATAATATTTCTTACTTATAAATTCATGAACTTATCTTTAATTGATTAATGTAGGATTTTTTCTCGAAAGCTGATTGGAGAAGATGATGAACAGGCAGAGAAGTGACTCAAGTTTAATTGATCGATTATAGTACATATTCTCAGTGAGAGGGAACAAAGCAATGAGATTAAACAAATAAGGCAAAGAATTTTTCTCTAACTTCGCTCTTGTTTAGTAATTACTTAATTTCTGGAAGTGGGATGGCCATAAAGTAACCATCTTTAATGGCTATTCATTAATATTTTATGAGATAATGAAGTCATTGGTAAGCACTGCTACACATAGCTTTTCTTACCAATGGATATGACAAAGCGAATGAAAGTGATATTAAAATCAAACCCATCAACATGTGTTATATAACATATGAATGAATATGATTAATTTAGGCATTGATGGATGGTATATTCTACTTCTTTCATAATATTTTGTTTCAATGGATGCTCTTGTTCTTTGTTTGCCTCTGTCTATGGCTGATTTGATGGGGGAGAATATCAATGCCTTCACACTATCTTATGTGCCAACGTGAGTATGGAACAAGAAAAGGAGGTGGATAAGGTGCTCGAGTGGAATTCAGAAAACAAAGTGGATAAATAATTGGTTCTAATCAGTACAACATATATTTTCTTACCTAAGCTTCAGTAAACTCACAGGTCCTGTCACCGCTTACCCTCTATACAACAAGTCTATTATGAATAGATATTGTTTGATTTGACTTATTACGTATCGTTGTCAGCTTTATAAACAAAGTTTTGTTCACTCTCCAAGCGATATGGGATCTTACAATCCACTTCCTTGGGGGCCAGCGTTCTCACTAGCACATCACCTAGTGTGTGGCTCTAATACCATTCGGTTGGAGAGGGGAACGAACCATTCCTTATAAGGGTGTAGAAATCTCTATTCAGTAGACGCATTTTAAAAATCGGAGGCGGATGACAATACGTAACGGGCCAAAACAGACAATATCTACTGACAGTGGGTTTGAGTTGTTACAAATGATATCAGAGCCAAACACCAGGTGGTGTATTAGCGAGGATGTTGGACACCTCAAAGGGAGTGGATTGTGATTGTGAGATCTCAGATCGGTTGGAAAGGGGAACGAAATATTTCTTGTAAGAGTGTGGAAATCTATCCTTAGTAGGCGATATGTAACGGACCACAATTCACAATTTCAAGTACACCAAGTATATATATATATATATATTGAAACTGGCCGAGTGAGAGCTATTGCAAGAGTACACTAAAGATGGTGTATGGTGTATGCCCACAAGAAAGATCGGGGATTACGCATACAAGGAACGACACAAAATGATTATCATAATTGAAAAGAATAGAGTGAAGTGATTGGAAAAGCTATGAACATCTTTGGGGGGAAAAAACAAAGAGAAAAAAGAAAGATGGGTGGGTGAGATATCAAATTGGTAGAACAGAAGGGGTCTTCCCATAAATGATTAGATTTTGTTGCACACAAGCATGCTTTTTGAAGCACTTTGTTTATTTAGATTTATTAACCATTCAATCTGCATAGCAACCCGGAGGCACTGCAAATCAATGTCTTTTCCTCAATAATTCGTTCAAAACATATGATGGAAACATGGAATTCCACTTCCAAATTGTAAAGGTTAAGACGTAACTCAAATAGTTGGGGCATTATGTATGTGCTAATGATCAAAGGGGTTGATAAAAGGAAGAAAAGTGAGTTGAATCATTTGGAATATGGATCCATCGGGATTGGTTTGGTTTGGTTGTAAAGGCTGATGAAGGTGGGACATGGAGCATGTGGGTTTGCCCTGAAATGGAAAAAAACATAAGAGGGTTAAATAGACACTCAAAAAGGACAGACCCAAACAGAA